CCTTCCGAATGACACCCTCACACCTAGTAACCTCAGGCTCTCATCACACCACAAGGACCGGGAGTTCCCCATGCTTTTGTTCCGGGCCATGCGGACTGAGTCCCAGCTCTGGAGTTCTAGATCTGGTGTGCGACTGCCGCCATCTAAGAGCATATGAGCCACCCTGGTGGCCTCATCACTATTGACCCACTGAGGCTTTTTATAAATGAAGCTGTGTTTCCCAGCCCTCACTTCCTCTGGTGCCGCTGACTTTGGGGGCCCCAAGCAGATTCTATACCTACCCTCATTTGGTGGCCCCTGTCAGGACCTTTGTGAACCACCCCCACCACCACCAACAACCACATTTAACGGGGTCTGAAAGCACTGTTGGTAAAATATAGTTTAGCATCTCCTGGCACATTGTCAATCAGGTTCTCAGGAGAGGAGGTGGAGGGGAGGGGGGGAGGGGAGGGGGGATTTCTCCCTTAATTTCCCCTTCTGTTTCTCCAAACAGTGGGTACGGGGGAGGGGAAAGCTAGCCACACTCCGTATTTTCCATCTCCTGTGGATAAAATGTTTACCGTTCCCCACTTGAAGAATTTAGATCTTTCTTTAAAATCCCCAGGAAACTGGCCGACCCCGCACGTCACGATGTCAAGTTAGCTATCTTCTGACACACCTCCAGATGCTTTCTGTATCCTTGTCCTCATTGCTCAAGCCCCAAATGAACAGGGAAACATTCAAGCTCTGCCCCCTGCCCAAGCCCAAGAAGTAAAACAGGGAACACGTTTCTCCAGCAGGTGTTCACGGTGCTGCCTGTCTGGTTCTCTTTCCAGCCTCAACAAAACTAGAAGAAGCCCGAGTGTGCTCCTGGGCAACACCATTCAGTCATTCGTGTGTTCACCACACGTTCACTAAGGATCAGTCTAGATTATGGGCGAGCAAGGACAGAACTCCGGGGAAATGGAGTCTGAGGAAGAGTTTAAAACCAAGTGAGACTAAAGATGAACCTAGAGTCTGGTCTCAGGTACACACACAGTTATTTTATGACTTTAAAATTCAAGTGAGATTAAAATCTGGATGCTGGCCTCAAGTACAAATGCAGTATTGAACTGCGGTAAGGACGAAACCTGAGGCCCTTCTGATCAAGGGCCTCTGTGGAGGTGGGGGGGTCCCACAGGTGGGATGTGCCACTTGGTTTTGTGGACACTAACTTATAAAACAGCTTTGCGGACCAATAGTTAGCAAGTGAAATGAGGAGAGGGGAGAAATGAGAACGCACGCGGGTGGGGAGAAAGGGACAGGGAGCCAGGAGGAAACAACCCACCCCTGCGCTCTTTTCTGCAGAGAGGTTTAAGGGGCTTGTTTCAACCTGGCGTCCCGGGTCCAGAACAAAGCGCGGCCACGGAGTGGGAAGACGGAAGGGGCGTCTTCGGCTCGCGTGGAGGTGGCGGGGACGGCGGGGAGCGCAGGAGGCGGGCGCCACTAGCAGCCGCTCGCGGGGGTAGCCTCACGCCGCCGCT